TCTCCTGGGCCGCGAGTCCCCGCCCCTCCCTGGCGCCCTGCTCCCTCCCCGGGCCCTCGGCCTCTGGGTGCCGGCGATTTAAATCCCCTGCTGCCTCGTGCCCACCTTAAACCCCCGGCGGCCACTGTCCGCCGCCGCCTCCTGCCGTGAAACCGACCCTGGTTTGGGGGAGCGGGAGTCTCCTTGTAGAGCCCGTCGTACAGGCAGGACCTGCTCGGCACAGGTGTAGCCATTCATTCATTCAACAGCAGCTACCCAGTCCGTTAAGTGCCTGAGGCTGCTTCGCGCTGGGCATACGTAGGGCACAACCTAGGCTGGGAACTAGGTTTGTAAACACATATTTGTCTGGGTGTGACAAATGCTCTAGTGGATAGATGTGTAAAATTTAGGAGATTTAAAAGTGTGTGTGTGCGCGTGGTGGGGAGCCAGGAAAGACTTGATAGAGAAAGAAATGGGAAAATTGGATCCTGGTGGGAGTGGGAGTTTGCTTGGCAGGTGAAGAAAGGCCTAGCATTCTAGCTGGAGGATGCAGCACGTGCAAAGGTACCAGTGTTGAAGCAGCATTTAAGCCACAGCAATTTATTGGGTCCACCTGAGAGTCCAGGTATGGTGCAGGCTGCCACAGAAGCAAAAAGGAGGAGCTGTGGTTATGAATAGCTGGGATCTTCTATTCTGGTGGGGAAGACCAATGCACAAATGGGTAATTACTACCAAATTATCTAAGTGTAACAGTGGGGAATTCACAGGGTTTTATGAGCGCTGGGAGAAGGAAGAGATAGAGTTCCTGGGGGCACTTTAACCACTTTGAATCCCAATTATAATTTGGTTAAGTAAGGATTGTGATTATGTACCTCAGGACCAAAAGGGGGTTAAAAATGGTGAGAGTAAAAAAACTTCAGCAAATGTAATGTCAGGGAGAGGCGCCCCTGGAGAGGCTGAAGGTGAAATTCCTGGAGTAAATAACTGAGGATGTTCAGAACATTGGTGGGATGGAGAGAATGGAGTTTAGGGAAGAACTCATGAGATAAAGCTCCATGGGCTTAGAAAGGGGCTTCTAGCTTGATGGTCTCCTTTCCTCTCTGAGGCAGATTATCAGGAATAAGGTAGGAAGCTTGAGAAGTGGGGGTTGAGAATGGGTGCCTGTAAGCATGACTTAGCAGTGGTTTGGGCCCAGCTATGTTTGGAGACTATATTGTTTAATTTTACCTTTGTACAGTGTTCAGGTGTAGAGGGAGGAATTTATGATTGGATGTTGTACACAAAGATATGCACTCAGTGGCAATATGTGACATTTTAAAAATTCTATTCCCCAAAAGAAGACAGTATTAAGTGTGTATGTATATAGATATCTATATATAATATATATACATATATATATATTTATAACTATATACTCTGAATCACTAGACTCAGGACATAGTCTGGATTTTAAAATTATATTTATTACGAGTTTAGGTTTATCAAGAGTAACCTCTCAAAACAGATTAGTGGTTCGTACACAGATAGTTAAAGTTCCTTACTTTTTCACTTGTACTGTCTGGAAAGTAGTGTGTTTTAGCCTTTGCTTAAATCTTAGGATGATGTTAAACTTAAAAACAATTTTTGTTACTCTTGAAAATGGTTTTTAGTAGATGACATGTTGGTAATGTGTGTGGCTTGACTTAGGAATGCATGAGAAATCTCTCTTTCCCAGGGCCTGGGCTGGTTACTCTCATTATCCCCTCTCTATTGCATAAATCTGCTTCGCATTGCTTGTTAGAGTCCGTTTCATGCTCCTTTCACCAGGGAGAGGTGAGAATTCTTGCCCTCAGATATTGCCTTGAATATCTTCGGGCATTTTATTGAACTTTTCCGAGTCCCAGTTTTAGTTTGGGTTAAATACAGGGATTGTACTTATCTGCTAAGGCTTTACGCTAGAAGGGTCTCCTGTAGGATTCAATGTTGATGGGACTTTGACCTTGGAAAGAGCTGTTTCACCAGTTGTTTATGACTGCTCGTAATACTTGGCGATAAGGATGAAGGCAAGTCCTGTCTTAACTGGAGAATTCTAGAAATCTTTCACTTCAGTGGGCCCTACTTTCTTCCAACTACAATTGTCCTGACCTTGGTGGAGATAGGGGACTATTGATTGTTTGTCCTGCCCCTTCTGGACAGATCAAATTCAGTCACAGTCACTTTTGCTAGGTGAGCATTCCAGTCCACTTGTCCTTTTATCACAGCTGCATGTATAAAGGGGCAGACAAGCCATCCCCCAAAACTCTGGACTTTCTTCACCTTCTAGATCCTACTGGGGTTTCTGGCCAGGCTTAGGTGTATAGTCAGTGATTCAGTATTTGAAAATCTTGCACCCAGGAAGGTGTGGGCCTCAAACCCAGCACATTTCACAGTCCAGAAGGGTTGCTTCCAGCGTGAGCATGTTGGCAGGAGAGGAGATTATGATTCCAACAGAGAGGGGAACAGGAATGAACCAAGCATATGGGAGATTTGCTGGGTAAACAGGCCAGTTTTCCAGAGCCTTTGGGTTTACATTTTCAATGAGGCTAATGTGAGTTCCAAAGCCAAAAACATCATGTTGGGATTTTATGGTTTTGGCAGTTGTGGTCCTATTGCTTCATCTCTTTAGCACCAAATCCCAATGCATTAAATCAAGCATGTTGCTTCTTTATTTTGAAGCTTGTGTTCTTATTTCTAGGCCCCTAGTGGTCTTGCTTTTGTATCCTAATGGCTCACACACTTGTAAATAACCCCCACCTAGTTATGTCATGGCTTATTCACAGTTAAATACCCGTTATAAATTTTAGGGTGTTTTTTCTTTAAGACATGTATGTGCGTACCTCTAGCTGGCAAGTAGCTTATAGCTGTAATGTTTAACTTCACTTCAATTAAATTTCCTGTCATTTATATCTCCGAAGTCAATGTTTTTCATAGAAGGTCATGTTTTATTATGCTGGTTATTACCTTGGTACCGAAACCTGCATTTTGGTCGTGAAATTGGAGTTCGCTGTCCTTATCTAGCGTGCTTTGGGACTCAATACAACTCATTTGAATTAATGTTTAGAGTAATTGAGCTGAAGGGATGTCTGTGTTTCTTGTTCAAGCCTCTCATTTTGTAGAAGGGAGGCTAATGTAGAGAGGTTAAAGGACATGGCCCAAGACTCATTGTTTGAGGAAGATGGAGACAAGTCTATGTTTTCCTGCATTTTCGTCAAGTGCTCTGTTGCCTCGCACAAGTGCTGCTTGAGGTGGGGAAGCTGCACTGCATATCGCCCGTGTGGATTATATTTGAACTCCCTTTCTTTCCCCCTTTCATTTGATCAGTTTTAGTCCTTAGTCTATTATATTACAAGTTAGATATTCAACCCTGCTCTAACATTACAACCGAATCCTTTTTCCTAGAAGGGATAACAGGTCTGCTAGAGAGATTATTTACTCTATGGAATGGTCTATATTGTTTGCAGCTTGTAGAAAATTAAAGCACAGTGTGCTTACTACCAGGTTGTAATGACTTAACTTCCCGGTGCTTTAGTTTCCTTGTCTGTAAAATGGGGGGATAATGATGGTTCTTCCTAATACTGGCTTTTTAAAATATTGATTTGATAGAGAGAGAAAGAGAGAAAAACATCGATTGGTTGCCTCCTGCATGTGCCCTTCCTGGGGATGGAACTCACAACTTTCTGGTGCAAGGGGCGATGCTCCAACCAACTACGCCACACAGGCCAGGGCAACATTGCTTTGGAGAAGTGAGTAAGTTAGTATGTAAGTCATTTAGAATAGTGCCTGGCACATGTTACCATGGAAAGTGTCAGTTATCAACCTGGGAGAGTTTTCCATTTCACTCCACCTTCCCTCAGGACTTCTTGTCAGCCAATTACACGATTTTCATTTAGTCTTATTTAGGACACTCTACGTTGTTGATGTTTTCTGAGAAACAGTGGGCCTTTATTTTTTTCCGTTTGATATTTTTTGTTTTTCTTTCACGGTGGAACTGGATATTTATTTAATAAAAGACATATAGAACGCTAACTTTCATTGACGGCAGTTTTCTTCTTTTTAAGGATTTGGAACGCCCTGACAGATAATTACGGAAACGTAATGCCTGTGGACTGGAAGTCATCCCATACCAGGACCTTGCACTTGCTCACTCTGAACCTCTCAGAAAAAGAGGTAAGTTGGGGATTGAACCAGTAGTTTCTTAATAACTGAGTCTGATAATGGAACAAGGAGCATTTCTATTAACCAACATTCATGAGTGGCCTCTTATTTCCAAGCAATTGGACTGGCCCTCTGTTGCCATAAACCACCTATTAGCACTTCCCTCCAGTGCTTCCCCAGCACACACTCCCTTTTTTATGTTTAGCTAAATTTTCATCACCTGTGTATGAACATCAATAACCAGCCTGTTTTTTCCCCCCACCTTAAATAACATGATTTGCTGAGGACACTCAGTGAGAATCCTAGCCTTTGGTTTAATACAAAATCATGTGCTACTTAGTGATGGGGATGCATGCTGAGAAATGTGTGGTTAGATTTCTTTGTCGTGTGAACGTCATGGAATGCCCTTACACAGCCCTGTATGGTATAGCCTACTGCACACCTGGGCTCTAAGGTACGGCCTGTTGCTCCTAGGCTGCTAGCCTGTGCAGGATGCTACTTTAGGAAACAACACAGGATTAAATCCAGCACAAGAGAAAGTGATGTAATTAAGAGACACCAGAAACATGAGATGTATGAGGTATAACATGGCACACTGATTTACAGCAAACATTTTTTTATAATTAGAATATACTCTAAAATAATGATAAAAAGTATACTGCAGTAAATACATAAACCAGTATCGTAGTAGTGTATTATTATAATTGGGTAATAGTACAGATCATAATTATATGTGCTATATTTTTATACAGCTGGCAGCACAGTAGGTTTCTTTACACCAGCATCTCCACAAACACCTGAGTGATGCGTCACTAGGCAACAGGGATTTTTCAGTTGTATTATAATCTTAGGGGACCACTCTGGTCTATGCGGTCAGTTGTTGACCCAAACATTGTTAGGTGGCACATGACTGTATTGAGGTACTGGAATAGCAACAGAGTTAACTTTTTGATGAATTTAATGACTTGCTTGCTGCCCAAAGGCTGTGTATTGGGATTATTGGGGAACCTTTGAAAGACATTTCAGTTCTAGGCTTTTAAATGTGTTCTTGGCTAACTGTCTGAGGTTGCTGTGTCTGCTTGGTGTTATAAAGTGAAGGTGCCTGAGGGAGAAAAATGAGCACAGGTGATAAGGCAGCAAGGGGGGACAGAAGAGGGAAGATACGTAATTGCTTTAAGTGGAAAATCACAGTGTTGTTTAAGCTGAGGAGAAACGTCGCTAAATTATGTCAGTTTCAGGGCTGGCTGTTTAAGTTCCTCATCAAAGAGCAGCGCAAACCCATGCCGGATATTTTGGCATGCTCTTGTTTCATTAGTGTATTTGTGCAGTTATTGGGAGCTTAATGCAATAGGCCTGTCAGTATGTTAAATAGTATTGTTAAGGTTTTGTGAAAATGGTTTTCTTAAACATGTGATTCCGAAAAGCTTGCTGTCCAGTATTTTCTAGTAAAATACAGAATTCTAGTAAAATACTTCCCAGTTTTCAAGTAGATGTAGAATTCTTACTGTTTGTGATAATTATTGACCCCAGTAAGCTGTTTTGCAGACTGACCTGACAAACGAGTAATGAAAAGGAATGCAACCAGATATCTTATGCTCTGTCTTCTGTTTATTTAGAGCCGAGCTGTCATTTTGGACTTAGTTCCAAGTTTCCCTTCCTCTCCGAAGCTTCCTATTACTGATGTAGCCTTTGCTGATCTCATGGAATTATGATTTTAGAATCGAAAGGGACTTGAAAGAACACTTAATCCAACCTCTCACTTGGGGGGAATCCCCATCTACAGCATGTCTGACAGATGGTCAGTTAGCCATGGCCTGAATCCTTGTACAGAAGGAAAATGCACCTCTCTGTGGGAATCCGTTACACATGTGGGGTGTGAAAACCCTACAGAACTTATTGGTCCCATAGAAATTTAGCCCCATTGTCTCCTAGGTGCTAGTCCCCATAGTGCTCTGCTCATGTCTCAAATCACTATTGTGTTCCCTTATTACTCATACTAGAGGCCCGGTGCACAGATTCATGCACCAGTGGGGCCCCTCGGCCTGACCTGCAGCCCCTTGCAATCTGGGACCCCTCGGGGGGTGTCATAGAGAGCTGGTTTTGGCCTGATCCCTGCAAGCCAGGCTGAGGGACCCCACCGGTGCACAAATCTATGCACTGGGCCTCTAGTATGCACATAAGATCTTTGGTTAATCTCTTCCAGCCCTCCCCCCTTCTCCCTTCCCTCTGAGATTCATCAGTCTGTTCCATGTTTCCATGCCTGTGGTTTCTGCTACTGTGTTGAATGTCTGCCCCCTGGTGGTCAGTGCGCATCATAGCTACCGGCCAGTCAGCTGGTCGCTTAGGCTTTTATATATATAGATGTCTCTGGGCTGTCATTAGATTGTGACCTCCTCGTAGTGTCTTTGTATTTGTATCTTTAGTAACTACCACTGTGCCTGGCATGTTGTCAGCACTAAGACAAGTGTTTGTTTACCTCCTGGAAGCATTCTTTGGATTATTCCAATTGTAAAGGAAGGTCCATAGGAAATTATTTTGACAAAGGGAGAAGAAATTTGCTGGATCTTTAGGCATCTAGTTCAGTCCAGATTCTTCTGTGGGCACATTATTTCCCATTTGAGACAGCTTCCTTTTCATAGAGGGAAACAGCACCACCAGCTCTAACCCTGGCACTGAAGGAGTGGTGTTTGGAATGCTTGGCAAAGAGAAGTCACGTTGATGCCGAACGGGAGAGTGAATAATGATACCCGTGACAGCCAAGGTTAGCTCTCATAGTCCAAAAGGGATCCTAGCCCTTAACATATGTCATCTCTGTGTGGAATGGGCTTGGCTCCCTTTCTGGAATGATGATCTGGGATCATTATTTTTGTTGTCATGGAAATTTGTTCTGTGGTTTACTGGTATCACTCACATGTTTTGGCAATAGCTGTAAGCCTATTGTAAATACAGTGCCTTCCTGATCATGCTTATACATAGAGTGCTTCTGAGTCATTTGCCTTAGGAACATCTCCTGTGCCATCCTTCCCCTACCATGAACATTTTTTCAACGACTTCAGCTTTTTTACGCACCTTTCTGTCTTTAAGAGTAGAAGCAGTAAGATAACGTCTTCCTTAGGAGTGATTTTCAAATTAAAACTTTTATTTGTCTATAGGGGCAACTTATCTATAAGGGGAAAAATAAAACTATGGTCTTCAAGTTACAACATAGAAGAGTGATGGGGTGGGCGGGCGGCTGTTAGAATTTAAAGGTCATTGAAGGTAATTGTTATGTCTACTCCATATCATCCATACGTCGTCGTGATCACACTGGAATTTTTCATCTCTGTGTCTCCAGTTTTGAAATCAAACATCCTCTCTCATCAAGAGCCTAATCTCTTGACCAAGTATGTCAAGCTCAAAGGCTAACATGGGCCAAATAAACGAGGTATGCAGCCAGTGGGCTGCGAGTTTGACATGCTTGCTCTTGACCTTATTTAAAAGGATAACTATTATAGTTTAAAAAGTAAATTAGAACTATAGGACTTAACATGGAAAAGCACCCTCTGCCCTACTTACCCATCTTTGGTTCCCACTTACCAGAGGCAACCACTTTCAGGTACTTCACCTATTTCTTCTAACCGATAACATACTCATATCATTTTATTTGATTTTTCAATTTCCAGAGGATGAGGGTTTAGCTCTCTCATAGTCCTCCCTCTAACCCCAACACCATAGCCCTCATAAAAATTTACCTTTCCCCTATCTTCCCAATATTTTTATATCAAAATATTGGGTTAAATTAATCGCCATTTATATTGATTATTTAAATATTCACAAGTGACCCATTTTACTCTACATTATGATTAAATTTTCACTTGTAATTTTTTTCTTAGGGTAATTTTATTTATTTGTTTTTTTAATATGTTTTATTGATTTTCTACAGAGAGGAAGGGAGAGGGATAGAGAGTTAGAAACATCGATGAGAGAGAAACACCGATCAGCCGCCTCTTGCACGCCCCCCACTGGGGATGTGCCCACAACTAAGGTACATGCCCTTGACCAGAATCGAACCTGGGACCCTTGAGTCCGCAGGCCGACACTCTATCCACTGAGCCAAACCGGTTCTGGCACTTAGGGTAATTTTAATTGCCTTTTTCGTGATTTATTTAGGTTATCATTAGCTCACTAATTCAGCCTCAACAAAGCCATAAAACTAATTTTAGTAATTGAAATACACTAGACCCATGGTCAGCAAACTGCAGCTCGCGAGCCACATGCGGCTCTTTGGCCTCTTGAGTGTGGCTCTTCCTAAGCCTTAGGAGTACCCTCATTAAGTTAATAACAGTGTACCTACCTATATAGTTTAAGTTTAAAAAATTTAGCTCTCAAAAGAAATTTCAATCGTTGTACTGTTGATATTTGGCTCTGTTGACTAATGAGTTTGTCGACCACTGCACTAGAAAATCTATCAGTCTCTCTTTCCTCTCTCTTTTTCCTAATGCCTTTCTTGATGCCCTCAGCAGTTAACAATTCTAATCTGAACTAGTTACTCTAGTTTAGCTTCACAGCCATCATTCTGGGATCTTCACTATCATTACAAGAATTCCCTTCACCTCTTTCATGTATTAGATCCCATGTCTTCTTCCTTTTTGGTTTTCCTCCTGGTTTTAATGGAGTGTATTCTGCAGTAGCTTTCTGAGAAAGGGTACATGAGAAGTCAATTTTTTGAGAACTTGAATGTCTGGAAATTTCTTTATTCTGAATCCTCACCTAGTTGTTTAGCTGGGATTCTAGAGTGGGATTAATTGAAATGCAGAAATTATATTCATTGTTTTCTAGCTTCTGTTGCTGTTGAGAATGGAAGTGACATTTGATACCTGGTCCTTTTAATGTGATGGTTTTTTCCCCCTAGGAGCTTTCAGGTTCTTTTTCTCACACAGAGTTCTAAAACTTTACAATGACATGCAGAAGGCCATGGCCAGGCCTCCTAGGCTGACTGTGCATTGAGAAACAGAATGAGCAGGTGTGTCATCCCTGTGGTTCAGCATGGAGCTGCAGTCTGTGGGACTAGATAGAGCCTGGAGTGCTGACACGGCTGCTCTCCCAGCCTCAAGTTCTGAAAGGCAGCACACCTGTGTTCCTTGGCGCGCCTCACTTGCAGGTTTCTTACCTTGTGGGCTTTGTTCACCATTAAACTTCTCAAGATCCTGTATGAGGAAGTAGGGAGCTACAATATTCAATTGTATCCTCAATGTTATGTGTATTCTCTGCACTAGTAAATAAAATAACTTTACCAGGTAAAATGCTATTTTTAAAATTTTGTGCCAGCTGATAGAAACACATGGTTGCTTCTTACATGGTTCATTGCTGTCCATTTGTTCTCTGGGAACTCAGTGTGTGCTACTCCTTGAAGAATGGAGTTCTAATGTTGGTTCTTTCCTCATCTGAATAGTCATGTCATGTTACCTAGGTGACAGATAGATGGTCACGTGTGCATTTTAATCTGCTGAGTTTTCCAGGCAAGGTCTTTACAGTGACTACCAGTACTAAACTCCAAGTCATTAGAGAAGGGGCTGTTTCCATTGGTATGGACAGGGTTAAGGGACACCAGCTAGGCCTGGTGTGATGCCCCAGGCTGCCAGTAGCAAGCAGACCGGCACCATTTGGCATGAAGATTCAAGAGGGGAAGGAGTTACCAGATGCTGGAGAGAGTAGCTGCTTGACAGGAGCTGCGGCCATTGGTCTGGCAGCGAGGGAGACAGCAGTATAAATGCCCAGCCCTCATCTTCCCACCTTCAGTCTCCTGCTAGTGTCTACCAGTGGTCTTTAACCCCCTGGAAGCCTGAGGTCACAGGCATCCTCTGATGTAGTCCATAAAGGTCGGCCTCCTGGGGCACAGAGCAGTGTGGAAAATGGAGGTGGGACAGTCTCCAACAGTTAGGTTTAAACATGTTCTGGAACCGAGATCCTCTTATTTGGAAGAAGAGATGTTCAGCTGAAAGGGCTAAGTGCGACCCTCATGGACAGTTCCTGTCTGCCAGGGAGTTGATCACTTAGGCTTTACTCTGAATGCTAGAAGTTAGTTTGCAAGTAACTATGTTCCAATCTTACTGTCAGGTTGTTAACTAAATCACATTTGCTGTCTACCCCGCATTTGCTGTCATTCCCTACAGCTTCTAACTAATGCCCTATCCCTCTCTTTTTGTACTCATCAGTCAGCTTTGATAGCTCCCTCTCCCATGGGAAAAACAGCTAAGTGTGTCTCTGTGTTGGGCACAGTGGGATGCTTGCAGCCCTTAGCACTTTCATAGTGACTTACTCTGTATTGCTCTCGTTTGCGTGGGAGGGGAATATGTAAAGCACTCCACTCACTGCCTGGCACAGGGCAACTGTGATAATTTCTCCCTTTGGAGGGGACGTTCTCAGCTGATGCTTCCTCTGCCATCGTCTTTATCCAGACCCTTTGACTTTGTTGTGATCTGAAGGTCCGGCCTTTAATCGTGGGTTCTTTTGCTTTTAGGTAAGTGACAGCTTGCTCTTCGACACATCAGACGAGGAGGAGTTGAGAGAACAGCTGGATATGCACTCGATCATCGTCTCCTGTGTTAACGACGAGCCCCTCTTCACTGCGGATCAGGTACAGAGGAGAGATTCACGCAAAGGGAAAGGGAACCTTGAGCTGAAACACAATTTGTTACTATGGCAACAAGTGATGGGTTATTGGAATTTACTTGTTTTTCCTCTATTTTCTGCTTATGTAGCTTAATAGTTGGCTCCTCCCCCGAGAGGAGAAGGAAGTCTCTGAACTCTGAAGCAGGTGGGATTATGGGAGTTGGAAGATTTTCCAACATAGGCAATTTTCCAATCAAAGCATTGTTAAAACAGGACAGTGAGTTACTACGGGAGGGCTATTGCTTATACCGAAATCACAAAGAATATTGTGATTTTCTTTTTTGTTTAGATCTAGCCAGACATGGGTAATCTATAATATATCTGTTAGGCATCATCTCGTTTCTCCCAAACCTATGCAAAATCACTAGCACGGACTGGATGTACATGTTGTGTGCTCTGGAAAGAAGTGGGCATTATTCCTATGGAATGCGCTATAATGTCAGCCCTGAATTCATTTAGAACCAGTCGAATCAGCTCTCTCATTTTCTGAATACTCTTCCCACCTCTTTTGTATTGTCAAAATGCGACGCAAAAACTTCTTCCTGAAATAAACGTTCCGTGGCCACTTGGACTGTGACTTCTACCCCACTGTATTTTTAGGCTGGGAAAGCAAGGTCAGTCAAGAGATATATTATGGTCAGGTTGGGAGTTCATTAAAAATGTGTCATTTTGGTGCTCCTTAGTCATATTTGTGGTTGGATTGTTCTAGGCCTGGGGAGAGCGAGGTGCTTAAAAAGCAAGGAATAGGTTAGAGGGCTGAGTGGGGTTTAGCGAGATATTCCAGGGAAACGTGACTCCGAGAATCATCGACTCCTCAGTCATTTGCTTGCATGGCACAGGCTTTCCCTGCTTTTAAGATTTAGAGAAGCAGATTGCACAGCCCAGCTCAGTGCCTCATCTTACTGTTTTCAGTGCCTATTTTTGGAAAATATTCTTGCTAACTGACATACTCCCCACCTCCTTCAGGCTTGCTTTTGTTTTTCCTTAGTATAAGTGTTACATGTTGTTTCACATTGTATTTTTTCTAATAATGTTTTTTTTTAAATTCTTAGGTCTGTTTTTTTCTAACGAGTGATTTTTCTGGTTTTTCTTACATTTTCTTTTGAGTTCCATATCCTTCTCAACTTTTGGAATCTGGAACAGGACAAGATGCTGTTGTAAAATTTGAGCAACATTGCTTATGACAGTAGATAATTGCTTAAATTAAGGCAGATATATTTCTTTTAAAAATATATTTTTATTGATTTCAGTGAGAGGAAGGGAGAGAGAGAGAAATAACAATGATGAGAATCATTGATCAGTTGCCTCCTGCATGCAACCCAGGCATGTGCCCTGACCAGGAATCAAACTGAGCCATGCCTACCCGGCAAGGCAGATATATTTCTGAAATTTTTCTGCTTTTGTGCAGCTTTCTTTTTTCTCTTTAATCTTTTGCATTTTAAGTAACATTTGAATATCCCTTCACCTTCCATTGAATTAATACATGAAAATTTTTTCCTGCTGTTAAAGGAGAATTTTGCTGCTACAGAGGTAATTTCTGGCTTTATATGTAACTTTTTTATACGGTTGTATTTTCTAAATCTTATGTCAACTTGATGAAGTGGCTTTAGATTGAGCACTTGCTTGTGGTAGGTGATGAATTTTCTGTCCTTTACTTTTGTTTGACTGTGACTATGGTCTGTTGCTGGCACGTCTGAAGTCAGTTGTGCATGTGTTTGTAGCGCCATTTCCCAGACATTGAAAGATCTGGCAGGGCCTCCTGAATCATGCTGGGCACAGTACATCATATCCTATTTGTATGTGTTTAGTATGTTGTACTTTTGTGGATAAACTGTGTTCCTCCTTACAATCAACATGTGATTATTGAGAGCGCCCACGCCTGCACACTGTGGATTAATGGAGAATTCAGTGCACTTCCACTCTGGTGGCCTCGCGTGAGCGCCGTGTTTCAGGGGGATCGTTGTCCAGGTATGTGTGATTAACAGTGGCGTGTATATTTTGGAAGGTTATTGAAGAAATTGAAGAAATGATGCAGGAGTCACCTGACCCGGAAGATGATGAAGCACTCACACAGTCAGATCGGCTTTCGATGCTCTCCCAGGAAATTCAAACTCTGAAGAGGTCTAGCACAAGCAGCTATGAAGAGAGTAAGAAACCCTCCTTCAGTCAGTGCTCTTTGTGCTTTTTTGTATATTTCACACACATGGTGTGCCTATCCCTGGAAATCTTTGATTCTCAAGGTGGGTTGCATGGCCTTCTCCGCTTTCCACTAATGCTCGGGCATATTTTGATCAGGGACTATGTCATATTCACCGTTGAATCCTGTGTTATTCAGCTCGGGCTGCTGAAACAGAGTACCACAGGCTGGGTGGCTGAGACGACAGACACTGGTGTCCTCACAGTTCTGGACGCTGGAAGTCCGAGATCAGGGTGTCAGCAGGGTGGGTTTCTCCTGGGCTTGCAGATGGCTCTCTCTCTCTGTCCTCTCATGGGCTTTCTCTTTGAGCATCTCTTAGTCTCCTTTTATAAGGGCAACAGTCACGTTGGATTAGGGCCCACCCTCATGACCTCATTTTCAGTTAATTCTCTCTGAGGACCCTCCTTCAAAGCAGTCACAATCTGAGAGGTACTGGAGGTTAGGACTTCCACGACGTCCTATCTCTCACATGAGGGGATGGGCTGAGGAAAACTCAAATCCGGTTCCAGTGAATATTCTTCCTTTCGTCTTCGCAGTACTCAGTCACATTCACACACTGGGCCCATGTGATTAAATATGCATTCAGTTTAACTCTTTCAAATGGACGTCTCTCTTCAGAAGTGCGCCAGAACCCTGCGAGCTTGCTTGCGATTTCTTGTCAGCAGGTAGTTTCTGTACTCCCTCGGCTTTTCCCTGTGTTCGTTCTTTCCTTTGTACAATTGTTTCAGTCTTGACTGAAGTATTATTCATGGGGTGATTGATTTAGACATAAAAGTTTCTTCTCAGCCCTTTGAGAAGTAACTTTGCCCACCTACTTCTCCTTTACACCTGCCCACCAGAAGTTTTAGGATTCTGAGATCACGAACAAGTTAATTGTTTAACATGGGTGGGGAGCCTTTTTTCTGCCAAAGGCAATTTGGATATTTATAACATCGTTCTCGGGTCATACAAAATCATCAACTTAAAAATTAGCCTGCTGTATTTGGTCAGACATTTAATTAGCTCACCCCTAATGCCTTGGCAGGGCCAGACCAGATGGTTTTGTGGACCTTATACGGCCCACGGGCTAGAGGTTCCCACCCCTGGCTTAGAATAAGGTATGGCTCTTTGGCACGGAGCACCTGTTGTGCTCACTTGAAACGTTTTTGCCTTAGCATCTGCTGTGCTTTCCTTTTGGTCATAGGAGTAAAAAGGCTCTCAGTATCTGAGTTAAATGAACTCCTGGAAGAAATTGAGACTGCCATTAAGGAATACTCCGAAGAGCTGGTGCAGCAGTTGGCCCTGCGAGATGAACTAGAGTTTGAAAAGGAAGTGAAAAACAGCTTTATTTCTGTTCTCATTGAAGTGCAAAACAAACAGAAAGAGCACAAAGAAACAGCCAAGAAAAAAAAGAAACTCAAGAATGGCAGCTCTCAGAACGGGAAGAACGAGAGAAGTCATATGCCCGGCACAGTAAGTGATGTTTTGCAGGAGGCATGGCGCAGTGGAAACCGTTTCCGTGGCAATCCGAGCACTCCAGCCAGCTCAGGGGGTGGGGTCCATGTGCAGGAGTGGGGGGCTTCTCCCCAGGACGCTAATGGGATTCTGCTCAAGACCAGCACGGTGTGCAGCTCCTTCAGAGGTGTTTTCATGGCGAGGGCATAATGCTGCTCAGGATAATCCAGCGCTGAAATGTTTGGGAGAGAAGTAGAAGGAAGAGGCAGAACAGAAAAGGAGGCTGGGGTTTTGTGTGTCTTAAAGAAACAAAGCTTCAGAAGTGGCCATTTTAATACATCAGAATGTTGGTGCTTATGTATGTTTGGCTGGTGCACTAATGAAGGGTTTTTTTTTCTTTCTTTTTTTAAAAAAATATATATTTTATTGATTTTTTTTACAGGGTATTTTTTTCTTATTTTTGCTTATCTCTTACGGGTTGTAGAATAAAAAATGGAAAGGGGGTGCATTGAGAGGTAGCTGAGCTGTGCTGAGCCTAAAAGCACAGATTGAACTTGTAAACAGCTTCCTCCTGATTTATCAGTGAAGCTGGAAAATGCAGGTGTCAGGCAGTTATGTGACATCAGCCCTCTGGCCAAGTCCTTGATAGACTACCGTGGTCGGCAAACTGCAGCTCGCGAGCCACATGCGGCTCTTTGGCCCCTTGAGTGTGGCTCTTCCTAAGCCTTAGGAGTACCCTAATTAAGTTAAAACAATGTATCTACCTATATAGTTTGTTTAAAAAATTTGGCTCTCAAAAGAAATTTCAATCGTTGTACTGTTGATATTTGGCTCTGTTGACTAATGAGTTTGCCGACCACTGGACTAGAATATTACTGACCGGTGAAAACAAGTTTGGAATATTTGATTCTTTGAGTCTTTGTATATTTTTTTGTTTTCTGATTTTTCATTTTAAATGGTCCTATTAATTTCACTTGATTAAAATTTATCATAAATATCAGCTGTCAATTATGAGATGTATTTCCTTATTGATTTTATGGTCTTTCATTTTGCTTTGATCAGTTGAGACCTTGTATATTGCCCCTTCATTTTGTTTGTATGAAAGAATGCTAGTTTTATTTTTAAAGTCTAATGATTAGACAAAGGGGTCCATTTTTCTAAAGGGCACATACCTTTTATGGTATTGATAACATGGCAATGCAAATCACCACAAACCAGCTATAATGATTTGTAATAATAGAAATTCTGTCTTTAAGTCTTGATTTGTTATTTCTAAAGAAAAATTATCAGAGCAATAGATCTCCTTGACCACATGCTGCTGGAATCCAGGAAAGAGAATGCAGTCTGGGTTGCCGGGCCATCAGGGAGCAGTTAATACAAACAAATAGGATCTTACCATTTATAGCCTATTCATTATACTGTGTTTGGCCTGTGAGTAGATGGGTGTTTTCTTACTGTAATGTCTATTTGTAAATATAAAGGATATAGCTTATAAACTGACATTGAAAGTGTTCTCAGATGAGTGGTACAAAATATTTTCAAGAAATGGCAGTATTGACTGCATAGGTGTTTGATCACTTCCAGTGACTACTCTTGGAAAAAAGACACTAAAAAAACCCTAAAACATTTGTTTAAAATTACAATCCTGGAAAGCTTGCTTTAGAATATCACGGACAATATGTTATATCTCTTATTTAAAAAATTTCACCCTTTAAATCACCCAATTATACAAGTGTGATCAAATAAAATACTTAGTTTAAAGGTTATATAGCGTGGTTGGTAATTTCTGCCTATCTGCTTTTAGGGATTACATGTAAATCCTCTACTTATTGGTGTTAACACTTGGCTTCAGAAAATGAATTTATCCTTAAAGGGGTTTAAAGGCTTCTTCATGTAACTCCCCTATAAAAAGGGTTAGAGTGGATTCACTGTGTAATTTTCCTTGGCATTTATATTGAGAAATGGCAAGGCAGCAGTTAGGTCTTACTTGAACCTTTATTAGTCTTGAAATAGATTCATAGTAACAGTAATTTTTTTTATAGTATTTGAACGTATGAAGTTGCCTCTTGAATCCTGATCTATTTGTTCAAAACCTTTAATCAGGCTAGGAGTGGCATTGCTAAGCTTGTGGTACTAGTTCCCTCTAGCTTCTCAAGCCTAAAATGCCAGAGAAAGACCTCCCCATCTGTGACACAAGGAGCCTGAAACCTGGGATTCTGAAAGTAGAGGTAGGGGGCCCAAAGAACCCAAAAGTGAAAGGGTCAGTTGGAGAAAGAGATCCCCAAGATACTGCCTTCCCAGACGTGTTATGTAAATGCAGTTTTGGCAAGACTGGGTCGCTGTGCCTTTGCTATCCTCAGTGATACTGAATCTAAAAATTAGTAACTTGCCCAGCCGGTGTGGCTCAGTAGTTGAGCATCAGCCTATGAACCAGGAAGTCATGGTTCAATCCCAGAACAGGGCACTTGCCCAGGTTGTGGGCTCCATCCCCAGTGTGGGGCAGGCAGGAGACAGCCAATCAGTGATGCTCTCTCATCGATGTCTCTCTCTTCCTCTCCCTTCCTCTCTGAAATCAATAATGGTGACTTTTTACAGCTATCGTGCGTCATCTGGTCTCTAATTAATTAGTCACGTTTTTCTTTCTACCTTAGATATTATTTTGTTTTATGAGCAGGACTTGGACTTTTTCCTTAAGCACGGAATAGTTTCCTTTCATTTTTCCTTATGTATGTTTCAGTGAAACAGAACATCAGTTTGTAGTTGGTATAACACTTTGCCCAGAATTGCTAGCTTGTTCTCTTTGCTCTAAAGATACCGTAAGAAATATCTGGGTGGGAATAGAGCAGAGGTAAACTTTGTAGCCGCTAATCTTGGAGACTTGTTTTGTTTCAAACATATTCTGCAGTGAAAAAACTGGGGGCTTAGGGTTGCTATTTAGAGCATTAGAAAATGTCTTTGGGGATATGAAAATACCATTAAATATGGAAGAAAACATTGAGTGTTTTATGCAATGAAATGTTATCTTGATTTGTTTTTTTTATTTTAATTTTAAAAATAAATGTTGGGTAAGCTAAAACAATATTCATTCACCAGCCCATAAGGTGTCTTCCTCGTGCCAGGCGTGCTGTAGACACGGTGCTGGATGAAATGGACGAAGCCCATGGCCTCCTGGAGCTTACTTCTAATGAGGGAGACAGGCAATAAGCAAGAAAAAGAATGAGCAGACAGTGTAATTTTAGGTATAACAAACGTTACCAAGGAAACAAAAGACGGGGTGAGGTGGTCCATAGCGACAGTGTTGAGGAGCTGTTTTCATCAGGGTAGTCACTGTCACTGCCCCTGATGGGCAGGGCAGGCTGTCCTGTCCCTTAGCCACTCGCCCTTGGGAGGGGTGGTCGGAGGAGATCTTCTCTTTGAAAAGTGACACCCAAGAGAGCAGAAAACTTTATATCTCCCTGTCTTGTTCAGCATCTGGAAGAGCAGAGGGTGGGGATAGGGACTAGAATGATGCAGTTAATCAGTGTGCATTTCTTTGAGCTGACTGCTGTTTGAGGCATTGGCGCTTCTGTGTATCCACTGCCTTTTTGCAGAGTGGCCCTCCTTTCTTCTTTCTCTGTACACTTAGGGGATTTTCTTTAAGCTCATCCTTCAAAATCATGGTCAAGCATTGTCTTCCTCTCTTAGAACCTTCCTCAAGACTCCCCCTCCTTCAATGTGGGATTGATTCCTCTCTCCTTTTTGGGTTAGTATTACTCCTCTTAATGCGTTCTGTTAGCACTGTCATGCCATAGTGCAATTTTTTTGTTTTGTTTGTTTTTATGTTGGTTTGTGGTATGGTTTTCTAAGGATAGGAAATGTGACTTTGTTTTCTTGGCATCCTTACGTCCAACATTAGGAACCTAATACATTTCTGCTGAATAAATGCCTAAATGAAAGATCAACTTGCGAATGTGTACTTTTACCTTGGGTCTATTTGCTAGGTGCCAAACCCCTGGAGGCTGAACAGAATATTAAGAGCTGTTGGTGAAGAGCTCTGTTTGAATCCTGCTTCTGCCACTGGGAACATACCCCTCTGAGCTCCAGAGGGATTAAATGAAATCAAGTATGTGCAAGTCTAGCGTTATCCTGAGTAAATGCTAGTTATTATATGTCCAACTGCCCACTAGACATTTCTACCTGAATATCTTGTAGGAATCTGAAATTTATCATATCAAACCAAGTTACCATTTTCCTAAAGTTGAAAGAAGGTAGCGGAGAAGTGTCAAAGGGGCTGATCCGTGCCTGCCCCCTCCTTTTCTAAGTAGTTGTGCTTGAAAGGATGAAGTTTGCCTTGTACACATACTCGAATGTAAATGTAATTTGTTGATCGTTGCTATTACTCTGCATTTTACTTTATTGCAGAAAGCATTCCTAACAGTGAGTGTAGGGCTGTACAATGGAAGGCCATTGTAGGGCGGAGAGAATCCTGGCTGTGTCATGTTTATGTTTTAATAATTTACACCTATGAATTATGCAGTGGAACAAATTCACTTTATGAAAGATAGCATTGCTTAGAGAAATACATATCCAGTTTTTAATATTTTACCATTATCTATTGTTTGTATTTTGCAATGGGTTTTTGGTGTATCATGACCCAGCAGTTACTGTAATAAAATCAGGAGTCGAGTCCTGATTCCTTTATGTCCTGGAGAGTTTTGTTAATTGTTTGTTAATATAATACAAGTTTGAGTAAAAACCATAGTATGCCAAGAAATTGTATTATTATTACATATTTAGTTTAGAGTATCCTTAAGTATCAGGAAAGAATTTATAAATTTTTAGGATTAGTTATTTTACTCTAGTTTTAGTGTCTCTGAAATGTTTGGCAATACATAATTTAATTAGCATATTAATTTATATAAAAATTTAAAAAGATCTTTAGATACAAAAATATTACATTATTTGATACTATTTCACTTAATTCCTAACTTTGAAAATCTTCACATCTTTCTGCTCTGAGACTGAACTTATAAAATAGT